TTTTTTCTCTTTCTTTTCCTTAACCTACATGTTCATTTCTACCCTTTTTTATAATAAATTTTTTGAGGGCTTTGTTCCCTTTTCACTGTACTATAGCCCATGGTTTTTTCTAAAAAATGGCTCCAAAATCACCCCCAATTTTTATTACATTTTCTGATGCATATTGATGTACTTATGCTATGTAGAAAGTTTGAGTTGATTCCGACTTCAAATTTTCAAGTTACAGCCATTTTAAAAATTAACCAATTTTTTGAAAAAATCCCTGTATGTTTAACCTTGCTTTCTTTTTTTTTTCTCTTTCTTTTCCTTAACCTACATGTTCATTTCTACCCTTTTTTATAATAAATTTTTTGAGGGCTTTGTTCCCTTTTCACTGTACTATAGCCCATGGTTTTTTCTAAAAAATGGCTCCAAAATCACCCCCAATTTTTATTACATTTTCTGATGCATATTGATGTACTTATGCTATGTAGAAAGTTTGAGTTGATTCCGACTTCAAATTTTCAAGTTACAGTTATTTAAAAAAATAAGCCATTTTCTAAAAAAATCCCTGGGCTATAGCCCATGGTTTTTTCGAAAAAATGGCTCCGAAATCACCCCCAATTTTTATTACATTTTCTGATACATATTGATGTACTTATGCTATGTACAAAGCTTGAGCTCATTCTGACTTTAAATTTTTGAGCTACGGCCATTTGAAAGTCATCAATTTGGTTCCCCTTGTCCCTGTAGGAGGAAGAATGGGATAAAGATATTCCTGATGTGTCATTGATGCGTGTTATGAAAGCTAATGCTCCTGAATGGTGGCTCATTGGTCTTGGATTAATTGGTTCTCTATTCCTCGGAGCTATGAATCCTCTTTTTGCCGTCTTCTTTGGTGAAATTATTGAAGTATTTGCTAGACCAGCTTCTGAGGTACTGGATGGACTCCATTTGTGGGCGGGGCTTTTCCTTGTAATTGGAATTACTGCTGGAGCAGGAACTTTCCTAAAAGTGAGAAAAATAATAATTTAATAAATCACTATTCCCTTCCTGTGTCTTTTCTCTCCAGTCATTTTGTTTTACGGTTGCCGGTGAGAATCTTACTGCTAGATTGAGGGAGTGGTCATTCAAAGCTGTACTGCGTCAGGAAATCGGCTGGTTTGATAATGAAAGGAACTCGTCCGGTATCCTAGCAACCAGACTGGCACAAGACGCCTCTAGAGTACAAGGGGTAAGCCAATAACTAATAAATATAATATATATTAATAAACACTTACTGTAGGCTACTGGATCAAGACTGGGTACTCTCATTGAAACTTTCGTTGGTATGTTTGCTTCACTGATAATAGCATTTGTGTACTCCTGGATGCTGACACTGGTGTTGATTGGTTTTGTCCCAGTGTTCATTATTGCTGGCTTCCTACAGCTCAGGGCCATCACCGGTCACGCTGGTGATAATAAAAAGGCATTAGAAGAAGCAGGAAAGGTTAGTTAATTGGGAGGGGCTAGTTAGTAAGAATCCTTATATTAATTATAATAATATGATAATTCATTTTTATTTTCACACGTACATGTACA